ACGAACATGTCTTTATATTCATTTTACTTATTAAAAAAAAAAAATCAGATATATATATTTGGGGGATATATCCTTTATCAAGTATAAGTAGGTATCATTCGATTAAAGAATAACACAAAATGCTAATGTCTTCATGTACTTTCTCGTCCGTTTCGTTTCATAGACTGAAATAGGAGTAACAAAGTTTGTTTAGCTATTTCATTACGATGTTTGTTCAATAAAAAGGGTTTATACTATTATATTGTATTACCATAGGCTTATAATTAACCAAAACAGAATTAACAATAGGAGATGAAAACTCGAGAAAGAAATAAATTTATAATATTCCTAATTTATATATATAAATATATTCATGTATATATATATAATTCCTGATATATATCATATACAATTCATATTACATATATTATTGACATAACATCTAATATGATATAACACCATGAGGGTCCCTATATACGTGTTGCTATGCATCGGTGTACTCAGTGGTGAGTGTTAAGAACTTATAATAACCAGGTAGCTCCACTTCCATTTAGCCTGTTGAACCCAAAAATCATATTATTTTCCCTTAGTGTATTCTGACGGTTGTTAATGGTGAGGAGCACTTCGTTATCATAGAGAAAAGAGGGTGATTTTGGTTTTACTTATGAGGATTATGAAACAAATAATTTTGTTTCTTGCTATGTCTGGTCTCTCAGTGCATTCTCGTTAGCTGAATGGTAAAAGAAGCGTCGATAAAAAATCCAAGAAGTAAAGATAGAATATTTATTAATTTGCAATAAATCAAGTGATGAGGCGGATTTTGCTCACAAGTTGCTAACTAGGATTTCCAAGATAGAGTGGGTCTACCTGTTAAAAGATACCCTGATGTCTCCTTTGCAATAAATTTACACAGTACCACATATATGTATATATATACATATGAATATATATATGTATGTAAATATAAATATATATATATATATATATATATATATATATATATATATATATATAAAATGGTGACTCTTAATTTAAAGAAATCAAAACGACCACCAGTTAAGTAAAATTTCCGAGAATTAACCAACAACGACCCTCAAGCATTATGCCAACAAATAATTGCCAAGGAAGCAACTCTTTTAGAAATCTTGCAAACAGATAATGAAAACAAAGAGGCAAATGTCTTTACAGAAGTGATTAATGACAGTATAGATGTCATCGCTCCATTTGTTACAAAAACTGTTTGACGTCCTCCTGCTCCATGGATAAACAACGACATCAAAAGAGCAATAACAGATAGAAATAACGTTCATAAAACCCTCAGAAATGATAGACACAACATGGGACTCTAGAAAAACTACAATCAAAGTAGAGAAATGTCAAATCACTAATACAAGGAGACAAAACTGATTATTTTAGAAAACAAACGCTTTCAGATCTCAGCAAAAGGCAGGTAAGATAAGGCCACTAGCAAATACTTTCAGACCACAACCTGTAAAATGTAAACAGTAATCTTAACAATAAAACGCCTGCGTCAAACTAATGCTGTGGGAGCAGATGACATTGCTTTTCGCTTTATTAGAGACAGTCTACCTTTAATAGCTTACTATCTAATGGTAATTATTAACACATCTCTGTGTCACTGGTAATTTCCCATCGCTTTGGAAACATGGCATAATAACACCAGTTTTTAAATCCGGAGACACAGACGAAGTCAATAACTATCGCCCTATTACCATATTCCATATACTGTCTAAAGTTCTAGAAAAAAAATCATAGCAGACCAATTGATATTATTTCTGGAGACAAATGACCTGCTATCCAAATCACAACATGGTTTCAGAAGCAAATTGTCTACTGAAACAGCATTATTACAGATCACAGATAAAATTTATGAGAACATAGACAACAATCAAATAAACTTATACTGTGCGATTTATCCAAGGTTTTTGACAGTGTCAACCACGAAATCCTCCTTAGT